CACACCTTTATCTCAGCGGTTCTGCCAGGCGTCTGTGGCTGCTCTGATCCTTCCCCCACATGGTCTCACCCAAGATGGCGACTCCTGGAGCAGCCGAGTGTCCCATACTAGAAAGCAATAGATTTCTTGCTTCTGCCACAAATTCCCCCAGATGTGAGCCTTCCAACCTTCTAAGTATTCCTTTATATGTTCTGGGACCAACCCCTGAACCTGCTTGGTCGGGTATTCTGTGTTGTTGTTGGTAGAGCTCTCTGTTATACGTCCACCCGATCCGCCATCTTGTTTGTTCTCTAGTAAATATTTTTTTAAGTCCTCTTGCTTCCAGCAAGCAAGGTTGTATCATGTACAAATAACAAGCTGAAAATAAGCCTTCCTCCAATACTGATGCCATGTTCTTCTTCACATATCCACCTTCTCAGGTTACTTTCTCAGCATATAATTTGAAGAAGTCTGGTGCAACCAGACAGATTCAACCAGTCTGGTGCAACCACAGTGCATATCTTTCCTCATTTTAAAACATCCAGTATCTCCTTCAATTTCAGTATCTGCCACTTGTTCTATGTACAAGTTTCTCATTAGCACAAATGAGTGTTCTTGAATAACAATTCTTTACAAAGCTACTCATAGTATTTCATGATCTTCACAGTTAAAAATCCTGTGAACAGTTAATAAAGCACAAGTATACATCTTTATGGCATTATCTACTGTCAGCCAAGATACATCTGACACCAGCAATGATATACTTAGTTCCATGTACAATTCTGAAACCAGTTTGAATTTCTGACAGTTCTCTGTCAATGTGCTGTTGAAGCTATTTTTGAACTATCTTCAACAAAATTTTACTTGTATGTGATGTTAAGGATATTGTTCAATGATTTCCACAATCTGTTGTGTCACCTCACTTTTAAATGGGTACAAACATGGTTCTCTACCAGTAGGATGGCCAAATAGCTTTCCTCTAAACTTCTTAGCATAAGCCTTCAATGCTGCATCAGTTGGTTGAAACATCTCAATTTGTATTCACTGTCAGTCCCTGGAGTCTTGTTTATGGCCAATGACTTCAATGCGGCTTAGACATTTGCCTTCAGTACCATTAGTTCTTGAACCTCTGCTTCCTACTGAAATGGTTGAACATTAGTAATTTCTTTTTGGTACAGTGATTCTGTATATACCTTCCATCTTTT